TTCACCTCTGCATTCTCCTCCTGCTTCCAAGGTCTTTTTCCCACATCCTTCTCGGCACTTTGGGCACCGGGCAGTTTATCCTTTTCTAAAGTCATTTTGTTTTCACGCTTCCTTCCCAAATCCCATCAGTTGTTTCCGGGCCTGGGTTCCATCCATGTCCCTCCTTAGTTTCTGAATTTCTGAGCCAAGATGGTTTCACATCCTCTGACCCTGTTGGAGTAGCCTTGTGCGCCTGCCCTCCTCCGGCCTCAGGTCATCTCCCTGGGGAGGCCGGGCATCCTGTTGCTGGGGCGGAGGACCGTGTTGGGTCGTGCTGTGAACTCCTGCTCCCTTTGCTTCTGGCCACTTGCTGGCTGCCCCCCACCCCTGCCATTGCTCCCACAGCCTGACAGAGACGCAGGGGGCCAAGACCCAACGGGGTATCTGGGGACTTCACTTACTTTTGAAGTGTGGGCAGGACTTGGCACACACCTGGCCTTCCCCTCGGTGGCTCTGACTTGTCCTGAGCAGGCTGGCAGCAGGCAGGGCAGGTGCTGTCAGCATCTTCAGCTTCCTGGGATCCCTGTTGAAATGTTTAAAGAATTGTTGCTGATCTGCGTCCTGCCAGTTGCCCGCTGTTGTGAAGGCCTCACCTCCTAACACCATCCTGCTGGGGGTTCGTGGCAACCTCTGGATGCTGGGGGACAGAAACAGTCACTCTGTAGCCACCAAGATCGCTTTTCCTCTGCTGCGTCCGTGGTGACTGGGAGGCCGCCACCGGGCTTCCCACTTGGCGCTGTTGGCCTCCCTCGAGACCCAAGCACCCAGACACAGTTGGCGCCTCTTTGCTCCTGGAAGGGAAGCAGCCTGAGTCAGGGGTCCCAACGTGCGTGTGGAGACCCAGGGTCCTTCAACGCCCGGATCTGTGGTCTCCCCCTCCCATCACTGTTTGCTTAAGGCTGTTCTTCCCACCTACTCCCAATAACCCAGCCCAGTGCTTACCTTCGCTTTAGTTCTGCTACTGTTTCCCACCATCCGCTTCTCCTGAGCAAGGGGCCTGACACTCCCTGCCTCCTTTCCAGACTGTCCCACCTCCGCCTGTCCCCCCCAGGGACACTGTATCTGAGCTGCTGCTTGGCTCGGCCAAGCCTCTCGGAAAGACGACACCACACTGAGGACTGGTTTCATTTTCCTTTATTTTTTTAAAAAAGCCCCTAAGTTCTATGGCTTCCAGGAAGCATCAAAGAAACGGAAGTGCCATTTCTGTACACTTTGTAAAGCAAGACCTAGACGCACACGCCGTGGGGGCACCCCCAGCCGCTCTGCCCACGCAGGACGCGGGGCTCCAGGGACCACTGGCAGCACTGACGGGGCTGCCCGCTCCGCACGCACCTGCGGGGCTGGGACGGGCTTTAAGGCGCTTGTCTCCCACTGCTCGGCCAGCAGCGCACAGCCCACAC